AAACGTTTATTATAAAGAGCAGCTCACCACAACCGAGTTGGCCAATCAATAAGGCAATTTATTAATTTGTTGATAAGGGACGAGCAGGCAGCTCTGGGGATGAGGGGAGTCTCCACTTCACCAACACATCCACTTTACCCCTGGCCTCTGCCTCTTTTTTAGGCAGTTTTTTGTTGGGCTATCCCCCAAGCAGCCGTGGCTGGGAGCCCCCAGCAGGTCTGGGCAAAGCTCCAACATGTGGCCAGGTTACACTTCTAGCAAGCAGGTAACAGCAGGAACAAGTTTTCACATGTTTGCACAATCCCGCTGTTTTCTTCATACATCGAGACTGGACACAATTTATAATTATTTGCTGAGCTCTAACTGTGGCAAAAAAATATGTAACAGCAAAAGCCAGCAGTTCACAGCAAAGGGATTTAAACAAAAATAATGGAATTGTTATATTTGTCTCATGTCCATGCTTCAAAATCAGTATTCTTTGTTTATACTGATCCCGTGGTGTTCCCGTAATGACAGGAATCACTATGGAACAGCTCACAAGTGCCTGGGAGCAGCCTTAGGATCCTAAAATCCCAGGATGGATGAGGTGGGAAAGGACCTTAAATCCCATCTCATCCCATCCCTGCCATGGCAAGGACACATTCCACTATCCCAGGCTGCTCCAAGCCCCATCCAGCCTGGTCTTGGGATCCAGGGGCAGCCACAGCTTCCCTGGAAATCCATTCCAGGGCCTCACCACCCTCACAGAGAGGAATTTTTTCCCCAATATCCCATCCAACCCTGTCCTCTGGCAGTGGGAAATTATTCCTCCATGTCCCATTGCTCCAGGCCCTCTCCATTTTTTCTTGCTGGCATCTCCACAGCCCAGACAAGTTCAGACACATTCGCTGGGACCTCTCCCTTCCTTCCTGCTCTGCTTTAGCCCTTCCCAAGCAACCTCCACAAACACTTCCTCATTCCTCGTTACCTTGGCTGGCCACAAACGCCTCTTCCACTTGCAGAGAACGAACTCTTGGTCGGTCATGGCTGAGCTTCACGTGGAAAAGGACAATTCCAAGGTGTTCTGAGGGGAAAAAAAGGGAATAAAGGAGTCACCCACCTTTGTCCATTGCAGTCCTTTGCTTTTTGAAGGAAAGACAGGATTTAGTCAAACATATTACTACAGTTATTATTGTTTTTCCTTCAGGATCACTGCACTGATATCACCCTGGAGCATTCTCCAAAATTTTATCTTAAATTCCATTTTCCTGTAGAAGCTCAACCCTAATGGCTGGCCCACTCCTGGAAGTGCCCAAGACCAGATTGGACAAGATTGGAGCAACCTGGGATAGTGGAAGGGATGGGGCTGGATGGGCTTTTAGGTCCTTCCAACCAAAATGATCCCAGGATTCAAGAATTCCCTAATTCCAGGAGCACAAGTGGCTCTCGCTGAGTGTGTTGGGTGAGGAAAATACTATCAGGAATTACACAATGCAGCCACGGGCCTGCCCAATCCACAGCTTCCAGCAACCAAACCCTGAAAATGGGGAGCTACACCCTTAAAATAACACGCCGCATAGACTTCTTGCAGGCAATTTGATCCCAAATTTTACACGCGGTTTGCAACAGAAAACCTGAGCAGAGCTGCCTCAGAGCTTCCTCAAGGGTTTTTTTGTTTTTTTTTTTTTTTAAATAAAAAAAAAGACATACTGAAGACAAGCCCTTCCTGTACTTACAAGGTCCAGGTGCTGGGATGGCCGGGGCTCCGGGATGGCGGCCCTGCGGCGGCGGAGGGAGGGACGAGGGGCCGTTAGTGGCGCCCGGAACGGCGGGGCCGGTGCGGAACCCCCCGTGAGGCGGCGCGGGGACAGCGGGAACCGCCCGGCCCCAAAATCCCCACGTGAGGGGAGGGACGGGACGCCCAAACCTCTCCCCAAGCCAGCACCGTGAGGGGAGGGACGGGAGGCTCCCCCAAACCGCCCCGCACATCCCGGACTCGGTGAGGGACGGGACGGGGACCCCAGAACCGAACCGCTGAGGGGATGGACGGGATCCCCCATCCAGAGCCCCCTCCGTAAGGGACGGGACCCCCGAACTCCCCTCCGTGAGGGATGGAACCTTCCAAGCGCTCCGGTGAGGGGAGGAACGGGACCCCTCAAAACCCTCCCCTCACAGGGGATGCCCCCCCACCCAAACCTTCCCTGGTGAGGGAAGGGATGGGCCCCTCGCTTCGCCCGGTCAGAGGACGGACGGGAGTCCCAAATACACCCCCGGTGATGGCACCCAGACCCTCGTGTCCCCCCACCCCAGACCCCGCTTGAAGGGCCGGGGGGGGGATGGGGGGGGGGGGGGGGGGGACGAGTGG